AACCTTACCCAGTATGCAAGGGGTAGACGTACGCAGGATCCTGCAATTAGAAAGTTGAAGCATATAGAGCAACACTCCGCCCCTATCTTTTCTAACCCTATCGCCCCTAAGCAACTTGTAACCATTAATACGTACCCAACTCATCAGGATCATCTTTGAGAAAAGATTTTGATTACTGAAAATGTGCACGTTGTAATTGATAATTACATGTTGTATGTCCTCAAAGTATGCCTGCTTTAATTAAGCGTTAACATGTCCTACGACGAGATTGTTTTTCGTAGTTGTACAAGCCACACTCACCATAGTTAATATCACAAGATTCGCGCTCAATTTTAGCATGCAATATTGCACACTTAGCAGAGTCAAATGATGTGTGAGAGGTGCTTTCAAGCTTATTACAAGGCAGTTGACACACTTAAGCTGTAACTTAGTGGTGCTTTGTTTGGACTCGTGTTTACTGGCACAAAAACACAAGCAAGATCATAAGTGTACTTATTGGCCAAGTGGCCAAAGTCCTGACATCTGTAGCATTGTGATAAAGAGGGATAAAGAACAGAGAATGTACGTTACTTTTTGAAGTATAAAATAACTATTAATTTGAGATTGAAAATAGAGCAGTTATATTCAATCACACGAATCTTATTTTGAGATAAAGTATTGGCGGGTTGGAACGCAAAGGTCCAAGGGGGCGTAGCCTCACTTGCATACATAGATGTGTGTGTGTATGTATGTGTGTGTTTGGTAAAAGTGGCTTATGCAGACTTCAAATGATCTTAAGGTACATGTTGATAACAAAGTAGAATTATGCAAGTGTCTTATAAATTTTGTCTACATGATTATGCATCCCATACATAGAATTTTTCCCATCAGTCTTCTTGTATGAAAACACATACGCAGGCACGCGCACTGACACACATATCCTCCTGTATCATGTAGTGATTTTGGATGTATATACACAAACACACATACAGATATTTCTGTATTATACAGTTATTTTGAAGAATCATTGGGGTCAAGGGTCATTCTTCGACACATCCTATCTCTACCCCTCTGTACCCTCAGACCTTCCTCAGCCCCCCTCTGAATAAAGTCAATTCTTTCAGTTTAATGTCATTTTTATTGACTTTTTTTTTACGTCATTTTTTTTGTTTAGTGCCCTCCTCCATTTCTCCCTATACCCCCTCTAAGCCATTCTAACAAATTTTCAAAACCCCCGACGGCCCCCCATTTGATCCCCCCAGCCCCTTCTCTAAGTAAAGTGAAGTTCTATTGGTTTTCAAGTTAATTTATTGAGTGAAATTTTTAATTTTTCTCCCTTCCCCCACCACCCACACAATCTTATTACAATTTTAAAGTACCCTTACACAGCTATCCCAATCATAAAGAGTCTTCCTCAGCCCTTCCTCCAAATGAGATAAAATTTTATCAATTTTCACGTTTTTTAGTTAAATTTTTGTATTCACCCCCATCAGATCTCCTTACAATCTTACCCCCCCACCCTTAGTCTCTTACAATTTTTAAAAACATTCATTTAGCAACTCCTTAACCCTCTCTTACATTTTATCAGTATATTATCTTAGCTCTTCTAAGCAATGTGTTAGCCACTCTTTGTACAAGGTTAAATTGTTTTAATTTTTATGTTATTTCTATCAAGTTTAATTTTTATTTCAGTTCTCCTCACCCACTTTCCACTACTCCTTAACTCTACGTTATAATTTCTTATTCGAATATGATAATTCTTTTATTTGTACGATTTATTAGCAAATTTCACACCACTATTATGATAGTTCTATAGAGCTCTGGTTTTTTTCTTAAATTTGTTATAAGTTTATTAATTGCATTCATGAATATGTATAAGATCATAACAAAATATTTTTTTATATTTAATTTATACAAAATTTATGTGTTATAAGAACTTCATACGATTTAAAAACTTTGATGTACATATTATTTCAATACACATGTTTTTAAGTTCTTATTTAATGTTTTCATATTATGAATATAACTTTTATAAAAGTAAATGAAATTTTTTTAAAAGTGAAGATGTTTAATAAAACTAAACAGTATACGTAGGAGTTGTATTCATGTATAACAATGCAGTATCATTTTTCTTTCAGTAAATGGCAAAGCAATTGTATTAACTTAAAAATTATTATAAAAATGTAGCTTATGATGTCATAAGATGATATTTAAATAATAACTTTATCGAGTTCATTAAAATATTCTTTATTAAAATGAACTGCGCAATGATAATACGTGCAGAAATACTTTCGCAACAGAAAATGTATAAAAATTAAATATTTTTATTTACTTTAGATCAATCAATATGCAACAATTTTTTCAAAAAATATTTTCTATTTTTAAATTATTATCACGTTTTATTTCAATAAAAATTCTATTTTTACTTCTGCATCTTGATAACGCGACGTATAATTGACCATGCAAAAGCAGTGGTTTTTTTCAAAGATGATCCAATTTTATGAAAACTTTCACCTTGGAATTAATTAATAGTCATCAAAAGCTTTAAGACTAAAGAAAATTGCTGTCTGTGTACAATAAAAGATAATAAGAATGAGTTTTGGGTAAACAAAGTTATTTTTGGTATAAAACTTTTATTTTCTATTTTTATTAGTTTTAATTTTCGCTCCAGTAATGTAAATAGGTAATTTTATTATTTTTAATCGTAAACCATTACGTAAGCCATCAGCTATACTTACATTTTGTATTAACAGAAAAAGCTAATATTTAAATCAGAGTCATACGGAGGTAAGCAGATAAGCTTCACGGATACTGTTTAGCATTTCAATGGAAAAATTTATGCAAATTTTACTATTAGATTTATTAACACCCCTGTAAGAAACATGATCTATACTGTAATATGTTTTCATTTCTCGTTTGGAGATGATTTAAAATTTTATTATTTAAAAAGTAAGTATATTCGTTATAAGAAGTAAGTATAACGTTATTAATTAAAAAGTTAGTATCTTTACTAAAAGTTTTGGAGCAAACATTAGGTATTTTCTAGTTTTTTGTCACTTGAATGATTTAATTTTTTCTTCTTCAATTTCAAATCGTAATGTCTTATATACTTTGTCAGTTAAACAAATATTAATATTCAGTTTTAGAATACAAAAGAATGATCGAAGATATAATGATTTAAAACTTTTTCGTATAATCGTGCTTTTATTACTATTTTTTAAAACTGAGAAAATCTGCTTAGAATCTCTTTCTTAAACCATTAATTCGATTTACAAATGAACATTTGTATCTAATAAATCATGCAATTATTTTTGAACTATTTCTAATTTTTTTTTTTTTTTTTGAGAAAATAAAAACCTAATCTTACATAATTGAATCAACTTCTCTGAATTTTTTTTCAGATTTAAATTCTAAGAACAGACTTTTTATATTGCTTGTATCTAATGCTACAAGAAACGTTTTATGACTACTTATTCCGTTGAGAAGTAATATTGATGCTATACCAGTCTATGACATCAATAAATGATATTTGTTTTTTGTTTCGATATAATTTTTAAAGGTGTGATTTATTTTTTACTTAATTTTTTATAAATCAAATTAACCGTTTAAGTAAATAAATAATTTGTGATAATTATCATTTTTTCTAATAGCAGCAGCAGCAGCAGTAGTAGTAGTGGTAGTAGTTTTTTTTTCTGGTGGGGGGGAAATGCATTGAGGCACATCACAGGGACAGCGGTAGTGTAAGACTCAGTAAATTTTTTTTATTAGACCATTAATACCCACTAAAACTTTCCCTATGCCGCGTGGCCTTAGTTCCACCCTGGAACCGCGTTAGCATTACTTCAGGGTGGAGCCACCAGGGAGAACATTATATAATATTATATCTCACAGCATTAACGAGATAGCTCGCCACCATTGCTAGTGGTTCTGATTCCCTCGAGTCCTGAAAAGGATTTGAGGTCTCTGAGGACCAGCACATGTGTCTAGTGCTTTATTGTAGGATGCATTTTTTGCAAACGCCACTAAATGCTTGATGTTTTCCCTAGTTGATAAGTAACTGTACTAAGCATAACGTTGGTCCACATTAGCCCACACTCCCTAAGAAAAAAATTTTTTTTTTCGGCCTCTTTACTTTTGCGCCACTTGGGCTTTCTTCCTGGCTTCTTCTAATGCTTGTCTGAAGACTGGGCAGCTTTCATTTCCAGCTTCGTGTTTCGTGTCCCCTGTCTTGCACAGGAAACACCGTGCAGTCTTTTTTGCCATGGTTGCAGCTTCCGCATTTGAAGCACAGCTTCGATCAATCCTCCTGTTCACAGTCATCGGAAACGTGACCATACCCTAGACATTTAAAACACCCTGTTACAATCAGCCTTTTCTTAACACGGCAGAAGACGAAGCCAGTCTTGACCCGGCCTGCGTGTACTACTTCCTTGGCAACTGTTTTATCAAGGGTCACAAGCGCCATTCTTTGCCCCTCCGCGCTTTCTTTGAGTAGCTAAGTCTTTAAGTCTTAGCTACAGTTTCTAATAATCTTTTTAATGGATTCCTTGATTTCTCCTTCTTCGACAATTATGTCCAAGCCTTGAACCTCAAGCGTCACTTTTCATGCAGTAGTAACCATCATTTCTTGGCCCACCACTGACTCTTTCCCATGTTGAGCAAATTTTTCGACATCCTTAACTCCTTTGGCTTTTAGCAACAAGTCTTCTTTCTTGGTGGCAAAGATATTCTGGACCACTGCACTGGTCTTTTCAGGGATAAAGCCTGCCTTCATCGTCTTAAGCACCCCGGCAAAGGTTGCTCCTTATCCGACCCTTACCAGGACTTTTGTCATCGCGTTATGGCCCTTTGTTTGGGCGCTCCTATGATTAAAAGAGACCTCTTTTCTATCGTCGTCGCTAATTCTCTTTTTTTTTTGAGGTCACTGCTCTTTGTCATTTTTCAGGGCTTTCTGAGGGACTTCTGTTTCGCTTTGTCCGTGCTATTTCCTTAAGGGCAGTATTTAGAGATCTTTTTTGCACTTACCGATGGAAATCATATCTTCTCTTTTGCCTGTATCTCAGTGATGCAAAACTCTCCTTCCACTGTATACAATAGTACTCTTCTTTGACACTTAGTTGTTCTCTTATAACAACAGCTGATTTTAGATGCTTAAGCGTATTTTTAAGGTCATCCTTGACAACGTTTGCCGTGTTCCCATACTTTTCTTGTATTGCTTTCAGTGTCTTTTTAATTTCTCTTATTGCAGAACGAACTTGCTCGATCTCTTGGTTCCGCCTTTTTCTTAGATCTACAATATCCTTTTCTATACAGTCAAGCTCTTCTTCTGTCTTATTGCTTTTGTTATAGTATAAGGAGCATTCTTCGATTGCATTCCCCGCTGACATTCAAAGATACCCTTCAAAATTAAGTATGTATACATCTAACAGCACAATAAATATTAATTAAATCCCTTGACTCATAACAATGAGTCTTCTTCCTAGGGCAATACTTCCATGGTTTGTACATTGTCTAACTAAATGTTATAAATTTTATTGAAGCTTAAGAATGTATTCGTATCATGCCATACAAAGACAAATAAAAAATTAGAATTCTTTACATAGTTCGGCACCAATATTACCAAAAAAATAGCTAAGAGCGCCAAAAACTTCATACTTACGTATCAATTGAAATGCAATTAAAGTAAATTCATGTATTGTCACACTCTTAGTTTTATAAATAAATAGATTACTAACTATTCGTACGTGTAAAAACCATCTATTTTTATCCTACGCAGTGTCGAAAAATGTATAGAAAAATGTATGCATACAAATAATGTTCACTAACATATATACATGTATGTATTGGTTCATTTCTGAAATTTATGTTGTATCGTTGTTTCCCTACACAATAAATTATAAAATAAAACACTATGGTTACACCTATGTGTGTGCAAAGGGATGTGGAAAGTGGCGGAGAAACTTGACAAAAAGTAAGCTGAGCCAAAATAAAGCTGAAAAAGACGAAATTTTATTTTATTTTGTGGGGAACAGTAGGATCTGTGCAGGGTTTCGAAAGGCTGTGGGGGGGGGGGTTGTGTAAAATACCCTACATAAACAACTATACTAGCAGGATCTCCTTGCGCACTCCACGATAACCTCCCACTACTAAATAGAGATTAAATATAATGATAAGCTATTACATAATAACTGAACTCATCAAATAACGTTGTATTTAAGTTACAATATCTTCATTAAATCATACAGTTTTCATATTTTAATGAAAAATAAACAAAAAAAAACTTAACTCTAACATTTCGAATTTACAAATAAAAAAAATTTTGATTGTACATTTTTTTACGTAATGAGTTAATTTTGTTAAAATATCAAATTATATATTTGTTTTTTCTATTCGTAAAAAAAATCTTCTGAATAATTACAAATTTTTTTTCGAATTCGTATGGAATTAAGTTTAAGGAGAAGTATCATTCACAAGTTATAGAACGCATAACAATATTACTTACCAAACCTTTAAAAAAATGCTGTTGCCGTGGGTTATTTCAAAAATATCGGAATAGAAAAAAAGACTGAACGTGATCTATCTATATAAAAATCTTATTGAAAAATAATTAAACACTTTGAGGGGTAGTTTTATGTTGAATTCTTTTCGTTGTAAAAAGAAGTTATCGAAGCAATACTGTTCAACAATTCTTTTATTTATCAATTCGTTGATTTTATTTCTGTATTTTAAAATTAAATTTTTATATTTGCTTTAAAAACAAGCTAATTCTATGGTAATACAATAATTTTCACTTAAAAATTTGCAAAATAATAATATACAAAATAGTAGTGTAGTAAATTTTTACACTAAAACAAAACTAAATCGACAAAAAAAAAAAAAATATAGTTATTAAAGTAGTTCAAGCAAGAATAACATTTTGTTCTAATATTCTAAAGTACTGAACTTGTCAAATAGAACGTAATAAGCATTGTGGGCTTAAGCTTCGTGGGAAATAAGCTGAGATGTTCTGCGAGGGGATAAAGTTATGTTACAACACATGTACATAAATGCTGCCCTATCGCATAAAGTATCTTGCATTAATGTATCGTTACTAATTTTTACATTGCACTAAGAGTATTTAATGTTTCACAATAAAAATATATGTATAAAGTTTTAATTGCATCTTTTTCACTTTATTTTTCTAGTATTACTTGTACTTTTAATTTTGGTGTTCTAAAGTGGGGCCAGCAGAGAGTTTCTTTGTTAAGAGTGCTGGTGACACCACTTACGAATTGTAGCTGGGTTTTACTTATGTAAATACGAGAAAAAATGTAACAGTAATATTCATACAATTATTAGTGGGGCTGAGAGTGCATTCATGTTAGAAAAACCAAGCCGCAATTAATAATAATGGGTGGTGATACCAGAGCTGCAACTCTGAAATTAATGACTTAAACTGTTTTTACATACTAATAAAACTTTTCATGAAAGTCAAATATAATAAAACTCTTCATGGAAGTCAAATATAATAAAATCTCAGCATAATTTTAGTATTGTTAATATATTAGGAATCGTTACAATTTTTCTGTCTGCATAAGATTCCAGTTAAATATACATCCGCCCTTCTGCGCACTCTGCTCACCAACCCCCCTGTAACTAAACCATATCCTTAGCAAAGATTAGAAGGGAGATTGCCAGCACCTATGGTAGAGAGTGTGTCGCTTTTTTTCCACTGTTTTGAGCGCCCCGTCGCGGCAAATCAGCCGAACTATACGCACGTTTCAGCAGCGGAGGAGAAGACCAAATTGTGCGTACGATAGGTACCTAGTAGAGGGGGAAGGAATATGTGCGTATACACGGGTATAGCTATATATGTTTTGTATTCTAGCTGCCTCGGCTCTCGGCTCCCGGCTCTCGCAGCTCGCAGCTCTCGCATGCATGCGTATACCTATATCTATTCCTGATGTGATGTTCCCTCAAAAGCGGTTTTGAATGTTGGACAGTTATTATATGTCCGGTCATATATTATTCATTAAATGTGTATTAAATACTTGTACAGCTAAATACTGAGTTTTCCTCGTATAAAATAAAAAATTGAGTAATAAAAACGTAAGCCCCGATATTTAATGTAACTTCTTGAAACTTGATATTTATAAAATAATCATTTTTACAACTTGAATAATTTATGTTTTTATAGATTTATAAAAATTTAGCACATTAAAAATATC